AAATGATTTTCATGCCTGAAAATATTTTAAAATAATTACTTAATATTTAAAAAATATAAAAGGCTATTTTCTGGTAAAATAATATAATAATGCATGCATGTGCTATAATTGCAAAGTAATTGCAATTGCGTCCTAAAAATACAAATGTGGCTATTTATGCAATAATTGAAACTTAGTACAAATGTAAATGATAAAAATTAAGCTACAGAAATTATTATAATACTATTTGTGATGCAGTCATTGATTGTTTTATAAATAAAATCCTGGGAGAAATTAATTAAAATATTTTTAAAATGCAGAAATTGTATGAAAAATACTAATTGATGCCCAGGCATAGTTTTGAAAATATTATGGGAAAAATTGGGTATCAACAACAGTCACAAGGTTTTACTATTGTACCTTTGACAAAAGAGATGAGTGATATCCTAGCAAGAATATGCAATCCCTCCTCGTTCATATGACCCATTCTTTTGTGCCACAAATCTGCAGAAATCTCATTTTGTGCTGCGTTCAATTCACCTTGATATATTTCTGCATTTGTCCTGTACAACATGCCACAAGCAACTCCTTTTGCAATCACCAATGATCCCTTGGTGAGTCTCCACTTTTGATTTGCAAAATAGTTCTCGTACCCATCTCGGTCCACGCAATTCCTGAGATCAAGTTCATCTGCAAATCAGGTACATGCCGCACGTCTTTTAGAACCAATGTGCATCCGACATTTGTCTTGATACAAATGTCACTAATCCCCGCAATCTTTGAGTAACTTGTGTTACCCATTCTCACGGTGCCGAAATCGCCTACTACATATCTGCAAAAAAGATCTCTTACCAGTGTGGCATGGTAAGATGCTGCTGCCCATTTCGACTCTGGCCCTTCCAAGTGCATACATTCCTCTTCTTCGTTTATGAAGAGAACAACATTATCATTATTTTGCACCACGGTGGTTGTGTTGTCGTCATTCTTCTGGCCACTGCTTTCACCTTTGCCCTTCCTTAGATTTGACAGTCTCTTTTGAAGTGACCTGGTTGATCGCAATCATAGCAATTTATAGCTTTTGACTTGGATCGGTTCTTGGTCTTCCCACGAGCTCTAGATCTACCATGATTGCTTGAACTCCTTTGGTAACTCCTGCCTCTACCTTCTGTGATGAGAGAATGTCCTTGATTTTCAGGCTTCTTTCTCATCTTCTCATTGAGTAGAAGAGCCGATGTGACGTCTTTCAACTCAATAGTAGTCTTACCGTGCAAGATGGTTGTTGCCAAATTATCGTACGAAGATGGCAACGAGTTTAACAACAAGATGGCTTTATCTTCTTCCTCGATTTTCACTCCGAGGTTGACGAGCTGTGTGATTAGTCCGTTAAAAACATTTAAATGTGATAAAAAATTCGTACCTTCACCCATGTGTAGGGTGTATAACTGCTTCTTCAGGTACAATTTATTTGTCAGTGTTTTGGACATGTATACGCTTTCCAACCTTGCCCAAATGCCATATGCGGTGTCTTCATTAATGATGTTATTTACCACATCATCTGATAAGTGCAACCTGATTGCACTAGCAGCCTTTTCATTCAAGTCAGCCCAATCCTCTGCTTTCATGGTATCCGACTTTTTGGCATCAGCATCTAATACCTTGTGTAAAATCCCTGTTGAATGAGCAGATCCCCATCATTCTTTTCCATGTTGAGAAACCGATATCTCCGTTGAATTTTGCTACCTCGTACTTTACTCCAGACATTTTTTGTTCACCGAGTATAGTACTACCGACAGTGAATAGTATTTCTGTGAACGAGCAGAACTTGTGCTCTGATACCAGTTGTTGGAAATAAATCTCCCACAGTAATAATATTCACGGTAATAAAAGCGGAATAATAATGTAGCAGTGAAATACGGTAATCAACAAGAACAAAAGAGAACGACACCAACATTTTTACGTGGAGAACCCTTCTGAATAAGGGGAAAAAGCACGACCCCGAGAGGAGCAACTGATATCACTATAGTAAGAAATTTTACACTTTGTAGGCCGAGTAAAATGCTACAAAGACCACTCCAACACTCAAAAAAAATAACCATCTTTTGATATTCTACCTTACTACAATATCGCTCACACTCTCTATTTTCCGCACAGACTATTTTTTTTATACTCTGTCTGTGATGCCTCGCTCTTTCTTTAACTCTTTGTTGGTATGTTTGAAGGAAGTGAAAGAGCTCTCATTTTATAGGAGAAAATACGTAGCCTCCAAGAATGCTACACGAGGAGCTTCAATTCTCCTCCATTCAATTCCAAACTTGGGACCAAAGTAAAGTAATCATAGACACATGCCTATTACAAATGGGATGGACCTATATATAGTCCTACTTGATATGATATCTTTATGCAAAAAATTACTGTTTATTTTTAGTCATATATATATATATATATATCATATTCGTCAATTATTTTTAATTTATGCTATTAGATAAATAACTATTTTTAAGTTAATTCTACTGTCTAAAATAGGACATACCAATTTTAGGAAAGAGCTTTGCAGAACCACACAACACCAGCAAGTCCAATTGAAAAATATACACCGAATCCGAATTGGTGGTGGGTCCCAACAGCACATGATTAACGGCAAACAGTAATACAACAACTCTAATAGTAGTAGGAGTACAATTTGGTGATGGGCCCCATACTCCTTTATAGTATCCAACCTTGTTACAACTCAGCTGCACAACTTTAGCTCAATAAAATGAGAGCAACGCGTAAATGGCAAAAAAAATAAAAAAATAAAAAAATACTAATACTTCTTCCTTGCCAGAAAATTATGACAAGAATGTCACCATCCCAGGAAGGAGCCTTTTCGACAATCTTTGAAAATAATTTGGAAAAAGGAATTTTTTTAAATGTATTTAAATATATTTGTAGTTTTTCTCAAGATTTGTAGCTAGCATTTGGTCATAGATTCCCAACTTTATTTTAAAAAATTTGATTTGTTTGAAGTTTGGTTTGAAGATGAAAATCTATTTGGACATAATTTTTCAAAACATATTTTTTTTAGAAAAGATGAAATGTGATTTATGCCCATAAGTTATAGAAACTATAAAAAATATCCAATAATATCAAACAAACAAATTTGCTAATCTTGTATATGCAGAACCTTCATTGATGCCATTCATTATCATTATCACAAATCATAGTCTTGAACATAGATAAATTTGGCACAAAAATTATCATTTTTATAATGAACTACGTAATACACTATTCTAAAACCATAACCTTATATTTTAATATCAACTGCTAATAACACAATTATCAGCCACTATAATTCGTCAAATTGCAATAATATTACAAGATACATCAGTCCAAAAGAAAATGATGGTAATTAGCTGGTGGATTAATTGGGTCATAATAGATGATATATTTTTTTTTTATAAAATATAAGTGTTTGGAGTAATTTTTAAAATTGTTAAAAAATCAAACAGTAATATTTTTGGCCAAAAAAAGATCTAGAGCTAGTTTTGGGATTTAAAAATGTTGTTTTTAAAACTGCCAAAATATGAATAAAATTTATAAACAAACATGTTTTGCAAAAAATTAAATTGAATTTTTTTTGACAAATTCTATGGTCAAACTAGGGCTAATATGAAATAGTTTTTTTTTTTTTGGAAAAAGCACTCAGATTTTATTTTTGAATAAACTTCTTGAAAATATTTAAAAACACTTTTTTTTTGTTGAAAATAACTATATAAAAACGTTCTATAAATTTAAACAATTAAATAGAAAATTCTCTAAAAATAACTCTCTTGATATCAATTTTGCATAACCAACCCATGTCTGGCTAAAAAAAGAATTGTAGTAATTTAACGGATAGATCATAATACGATTAATTTTCCCAAACATAAGAAAAAACTCCAACTAATATATGATTGAGGCATTGTTGATATATTAAAAAACTCAATGGTTAGGGAACATAATATACGAAAAATATTATTCTTTTATGGTAGAGAGTGGGAGAAGGAAATATCAATATATAATTCAATTTTGAAGAAAAAATAAATATAATACTACTAATAACAATTCAATTGCAACCTCCCATTTCGTCCCTACCCAAACGCGTTTATGTCCCAAGTGCCAAGCTAGTCTGTCATCCAATCAGAAATGGCAAATTAGCATTTCAACGCACTGTTAAGGGTATTTCTGTCAATTTATCAGAAGTTAGGACTTGGTATTTCAATTTTCATAATCTGGAATGGATTACCAAACTAATAGCCTGTTTGGCCAAGCTAGACAAATCAGCTTATTTTGAGAAGTATTTTTGAAAAAAGTACTTTTGGAGAGAATCAGTTTGTGTTTGGTTAAATGTCTGAAAAACACTTTTGAGAAATAATTTGTGTTTGGCCAAGCTTTTTAGAAAGTGCTTTTAAGTGTCAAATTACGAATAAGGGCATGAATAAATTTATTTAATAATTAATATTATAAGTAAATAAATAATATCAAAATTTTGTTATTACATGCAATAATTAAAAAAAAATTATTTTATTTAAGTAAAATATGAAAATAAAGTTAAAAAGTACTTAATTCTTTTAATATAAGTTAAATATATTAAAATTCCTTCAATAAATATAAAAGCATTCACCCCTAAAGTCACTATATATTAGAAAGTCTTCTAAAAATAAGAAGAAATATTTATAAATTAATATCCTAAGTATTAAGTTTAAGGGTTATTTTGATATATACTATATTTTGTTAATGGTATTTTAGGTAAGAAGAAAAGTCAAAACTGCTTCTGCTTCTGCTTTTGGAAAGAAGTTACTTTTTTCTGCTTCTCTGAAACTGCTTCTGCTTCTTCCCAAAAGTATTTTTTTTTCTAAATAAGCTTAGCCAAACACCTCAAATTAAAGAAAAAAGTGATTTTGAGAAAAAACCATTTTTTTTGTCTTGATAAGCTTGGCCAAACAGGAATAAGCTGAGTTTTAATATCAAACTCAAATCTTGAGAAGCTTGGCCAATAAGCTGAGTTTTAATATCAAACTCAAAAGCAACTTATTAAACTACCAACTTCCTTCAATTTCACTTCTCTCTTTGTTTCTCTCTCTAGCTTACCATCTCTCTAAAACTCAAACCCTATTCTCTCTCTTCTTTGATCTGAGCCTGAGCTTCTTCTTCAGCTGACTGCAGCTTAGAATTCAGTGCTTGTGGGTTTAGTCAACCCAAGAATGGCTTAAAGTTTGCTTCTTTTTGGATCTCTCAGTTTCTTGCTGATTCTTTAGGTAAATTATCCTTTTGCTTATGCAATTATTTAGCTCCCAATATTTTGTTGGAAGTCCATGTTCATGCTTTTAGCTGTTTCTTTTAGTGGATCTTGATATTGGGGTAATGGGGTTTCTTTGTTTTGGACTGGATGCTTTTTACTTAGCTCCAAAATTTAGTTATATAAGTATCCATTTTTATGCTATTAGCTGCTTCTTTGTATTGATTATTGATGATACTAGGGATTCTTTATTTTGGACTTACTACTTTCATAGCTTTTAAAATTTTATCTATGTGCTTTATGCTATTGGCTGCTTCTTATAATGGATCTTGATACTGGGGTTTCTTTATTTTGGACTTAGTGTTTGTTTGTCGTGTATATTTATTGGAAAAGTGAGCTCATTTCAACTGGTATTTAGCTGCAGAATGGTTTAAACCCCTGGTTGATTGTTTATTAGGACTTAAAAATTCCAGCTTTCCTATGATTTTTCATTGTTCTTGACCTGATGTGATTAAATTTGCCTGGAGGTAAACAGTAGGATATTGATCTTTTCTTTGCAATTCTTTTTTATTTTCCAGTGACTTTTACTATTGGCGCGTATAGCATCAATGACAGAAGGCAGTAAATTCTGTTTTCTCTTGGCTTCCACTTTCCTGTTGTTGGCTGTTGTCGTTAAAGTGACGTTGGCTCAAAATTCTGCACCTGGTGATGATATTCTGTTGAACTGTGGAGGCCCTGACGGTCTTAAAGATGCCGATGGTCGAAAATGGGGTTCGGATATTGGGTCAACATATTTGAAGGGTAGTAAGTCGTCAACCTCTGATGCTGCTGATCAAAAGCCCTCTGTCCCTCAAGTCCCTTTTATGTCTGCCCGTGTTTTCGAGTCTGAGTTCACCTATAGTTTCCCTGTAGCACCTGGTCGTAAGTTTGTCCGTCTGTATTTTTATCCCTCGTCTTACAACAAGCTTAATGCTACCAATGCCATTTTCAGTGTGACCGTTGGACCATATTCCCTCCTTAGAAACTTCAGTGCAGCACAAACTGCTGAAGCTCTCAACTACGATTACTTGACAAAGGAGTTTTCAATCAATGTGCCATCTGAAACTTTGAACATGACTTTCACACCCTCTCCAAATACTTCAAACTCCTTTGCGTTTGTCAATGGGATTGAGATTATTTCACATCGTGACATCTATAATACAGATGACGGGACTACCTTCATCGTGGGTCAGACTGCTGCTTTCATTATTGACAATTCTACTGCCCTTGAGAATGTTTACCGGCTTAATGTTGGAGGCAATGTGATCTCACCATCAGCTGATACTGGTATGTTTAGGTCATGGAGTGATGACTCACAGTATATTTTTGGAGCAGCCAACGGGGTTACAGATACTGCAGATGATGAGAATCTCACAGTAAGCTATCCTGAAGGAACGCCATCTGACATTGCCCCGCTTGATGTCTATAAGACAGCCAGGTCAATGGGTCCAACTGCTCAAATTAACCTGCAATACAATTTGACTTGGGTTTTTTCAGTTGATTCGGGGTTCTCTTATCTTGTTAGGCTCCATTTCTGTGAAATCACTAAGAATATCACAAAAATCAACCAAAGGGTGTTTGTCATCTACATGAATAATCAGACTGCGGAACCTGCAGCAGATGTCATTGCTTGGACTGGAAGCAATGGGGTTCCTTTCCACAAGGATTATGTGGTCTCTGTCAATTCTGGGGCTCCACAGCAGGATCTTTGGCTTGCCCTCCATCCAAACGTTGCTTCAAAATCCAATTGGTATGATGCAATTTTGAATGGAGTAGAGATTTTTAAAGTGA